ATGAGGGACCAGACTTTAAAATTCTGAGATCTAGCAGGACGAAAAATGAAACCAAGATTATCTGTGTATCTGCAACTGCAGCTGCCACTGGAGGAGGAATTCCATTTCACTTCATTAAAAGGATGACTTCATTTTTGCATGGTGCACAACAGATCAGTATTAAATTGTTGGAGAGATTAGCAAACGCAGCACGTGTTCTCCAGGCTTTCTAACTTGTGCTCCTGTGGCTTTTCCAGGCAGCTCACTCAGAAACTCTTTTATTTTATAGATGAAGGAACAGTCAGTGTAATTGGCATCAGCAGCACATTGTGTCTCCTGTGGTGATGTTAAGGTGACCCTTCTCAAACACCTGCTGTACCAGTCCTGTTTCTCTCGTATGTTTCAGGAAAAGGAGGAGCTTTTGGGGCTCGGTGAATCAGGGCATCATCTTGCAGCCTGCACTGCAGGCAGCACAGCCAGTCCTTCCATGCTTGTGCCTGCCTCTGTTGTTTCAAATCGAGTCTGGGCAGAGCATGATTTTGAAATGTTAACATTGCACTGGCTTTCAGGAGTGCTAGTGGGATAGTAGGTAGGATTGTCCTGTTAAGGGGATGTTAAAGTGATGTCTTTCAGGTGATGTCTTTCAGACTGGTTATGCAGCAGCTTAGAAACAGCCGCTTTAACTGTATTGAGCCCAGAAGCCTGTGCACAGCTCTTGTTTCAGAGCAGTGTTTGGGCATCCAGGGTTGACTCTCAGGATGGCTTAAATACACCTGCACCTTGATGAGTGCATGAAGTTGCTGGTTTCAAGGAAAAGATGCTCAAAGCTACCCTGGTAACACCAAATTGTAAACTCATGTTCTGTTTTGCCTGTGTTTATGTGGTGATCCTTCACAACACTCATACTTGTCACAGGAGTTAGTGACTTGGAGGCAGCTGTGTCCCAGCCATGGCTGAGCTTTGGAAGGTTTTTCACCAGGCAGCATCTGGAGCCCAGGGCCAGCTGCTGGATGATTCTGCAGTTGATTTCCTCTGCGCTGGTGCTGAAGGCAGCAGATGCAGCTCCTGTGGCCCAGCCTGTGCGAAGGTGCACTGCAGGTGGCAGGGCTGTGCTGCCTTCTCAGGGGGAGTGTTCAGCACTGGAAGACTGGGGCTAGGTACACTCTTACAGAGTCTGTAAGCATGTAGGAGGCATTAAGAGAGTGCCTTAATCTCTGTTGTAGTCTACAGCTGTCACTGTACCACTTTCAAGCTGATCTAATGAAGGCCCTGGAGCAGTGACTAGGGCCCTGTTAAAACAAATCTCTTGTCCATGTCTCCATGTCTTTCCTCCACCCCTGCAACCTAAACCAGACTGAGTTACCCAGCGACAGGGGAGGAAAAGGAGTTAAAACATTGCCAGATGAGACTTCACTCTTCCTCTGAAGGGTGACATTTCACATGGGTAAAACTAGACATAAACATTTTCTCACACTCTTTTAAGCACGTTTTCTTTTTGCATCCTTCGGCCATGGCAGTTTCTCATTCAGTCACATTCTGTGCCATGGAAAGGGAAGCATATGTTAAAATCAGGCAATGGTGTTATGCAATGCAGGATTCTGAGAAACACAGGTGTTTGCTGAAGAGGCCTTCCCAGCACTGCTGACAAACATTTATGGGTGCAAAGATTAGGTCCACTACCTTATGAATTACACAGGAGTGTTCAGGTTTTGTTTCTGATGTTTGCTTGTTTTTCCCTTTTAGTCAAAATCCCTTCCTAGTGGCTGCTTTTGGAGCGTGCTCTCTTACAAGGCAGGCTAACCACCAGGCCTTTCAAAAGTTTGGACGTTCAATGACTGCCTCTGACATGGTTTCAGAAGTTGGAACAGCTTTTAACAAACTTTTTGAGACCTGAAGCCAAAACGGCAGAGAAGGAGAGGACGAGCAATGACTGCAAGAGTTTATTACATTTACCATAGAATTCCCATAAGTAGTGCACCCTTTCAAGTGCTGTAGCAGCATTGGAATGCTAGGTAGATTTTTTTTTTTATTTTTCAGAATAGAAAAATATGATCAATGTAGATATTTTTTAAGAGTTTGGGATACAAAAATGTTTTGGCTGGAATAAGCTGTAGTTGCAGATCTGTTATAATATAATAAAACTAAACTGAAAGTATTCCTCTGTTCTTTTTGATAGTTATTGAGCAATAACTAAAGTATGAACAGCAAAAAATAAATGCACTTGGTACTTAGATAAAATTCTTCCACCAGCTCAGCTGAAGTTCTTGGATTGCACCAAGCTTGTCATGTTTTCATTCTTAGACCCTCTGTCTAGAATTAGTTACTGCCCTTCATTTTTGCCATGCTAGTATATCAAGCAGCAAAAAGTAAGCCTCTTTGGAAAGGGAATGCATGAGAGTTGCTGTAGATTTTGAATGTAATTAGTTGCCTTTTCCCGTTCCCGGTCCCAGAGGCAACGCTTATTTTTCAACAGGACACCCGCTTCCTACAACATCTCTGAGTGGGTGGGTGTTTGTTCTTTAAAAGGTTGCCCCATCTCAGAACAAGGTTGTACTGTAGGTATCTTAGTGTTAAACAGTAATTATGTTACCTGAAAAAAATGTTTTCTATTCCTTTAGTTGGCCTTGACTCATCTAGAATTTGGTATGATGAACTTTTGTGGAATTACCATTTGGAGAGGTGCTAGGCAGGATAAGAAACTCGGTGATTGCTACCTGAACTGGTCAGCCTCTCAGCAGTCACAGAGAAGTGAAGTGTTTTTAGAACTCAAATGGCCTGCTGAGTTAGAGCTCTGAGAGGACCATCACATAGGTTCACAGGTGGGTATCCACTAACCAGCAGGAGTATGAACTGCAGACACAAAGGGCAGCCAACAGTGTGTACCTGTGCCTTCTTCTAGGGGTATGCAGGCAGCCATACCCTGCAAGGCAAAAGCTGGCATAGGAAAAGGGTGGTTGGTGGTTAAGCCCGAGTGCAGTGCCTGGGTTTAAGGGCTTTTGGCTCAATCCTTAGCAAGACAGACAGGATCTTTAGTAGTTAAGGCCATACCTCACTGGCAGGGCAGAGGAGTGTTGGGTGTAAAGGGGAAGCTGCATGCAACTTTGCACAGTATCATTTCTTAAACATTTGGAAATACAGTCAAAGCTTGCAGGGATAGAACCAATATGGAGAGAGGAACAAGGTCACGTGAAGTATGTTTAAGTGTGTACTGCCCTTAAACCTATAGTCTAGCTCCAGGTGTATATACTTCTTAAAGTGCAGGAACAAGCATATGCATCTTAGCTACTGCAGTAGATGTTCTGTATTCACTGCAGCCAGTCTTTCCCAGTGCTCTAGCTCTAGGCTGGCATATGGTGCCATGCTACTAGTCAAAGAGCTTTCTTGTTCCTTACAATATCTGCCCAGAGAAAGCACCTGGAACCAGAAAAGCTGCTCCAAATATCTGCCCTCAGCCCTTATAGTTGATATTTCTGGATGCACTGTGACTACTACCTCACCCCAATGCATTTTTGTTTTTTAAAGCAGTTTCCTATTTTTTAAAATAGTTTTTGAAATGTTTGCTCACTTTGGGTCTATGAGGGTTCACGGACTGTTTGAGATTAGAGTAACATCTACTCGTAAAAGATGATGGATTTTGGTGTTTAATTTAAGCAGTTTTGTAAACTGTCTGCATCTCAGGGGAAATAAAGCTACTATTGTTTTTTCCCCCTAAAACTATTTGAGAAGCCTGACTCCTTTAAATAAAATCAGAGTTAAAACTGATTTTAAAACAGCTACTGGATTTCTTTTAAAGTGAGCGTATTTTTGGTTTTGTGTTTAGAACATCAGTGGTATTATCATTTAAATGGCATTCGTAAGGCAAAGTCAGTCAATTACCAGACCTCAGTAGGGGTTTCAACCTGTGGTGTTGGTTTTAAATCTACACAGAAGTTGTAACTCTGTTCTTCACTACTGTATACGTATTGTTACGATTTTTAAACATGCTGGCAATGTAGCAGTTTCTTCTGGTAGGAAATAAACATAATAGCAAAGTGACTCTGTGTACCTTGTTTGGTGTGTCCCCACAGCAGCAGAGCTGTTCACCATTTGTTCCAGTCTGCTAGAGCGATACAGCTACTACCACATGTAAAGTACTAACAGAATCACATGAGCATCTGGCGAAGTGCTGATGAAGACACCCGTTTTCCGTAGGAATAGCTATAGCCAGAAAGGGAGCAGAAAACCAGCTACACCTTTTGCTCTAAATAATATAAAAGAAAGCCTTTATCCTATTGAACAGATCACTTGTGTGAACTGTATTTCCAAATGAAATTCCTTGTAGCGGAAGCAGTGTTCTTGTTCTCTGTTCATAAACCAGTAGGTAAGTACAAGCCCCATGTACACTCAGGTCACCTCGTGTAAGACAGGCCTCTCTTTTTAACACAAACATGGCAAAAGGGGGGAAAAAAGGTAACTGAACAGGTGATAACAACTCAAAACACACTAATTCTATATCTTCCCAGTTGTGATGGAGAGACCCTGAGCATGCTGAATTCCCAGTGCTAGGAAAGTCTTGATGTGTTTTCTCTGCAGAAACAAACTAAAAAGCTACCAGGCCTTACACGTAACTGGATACAATCATAGTGCAGTTAAAAGATTTCACAGGACCGAAACAGCAACACAGCAGTAAGGAAATACGTGAAGGCCAAAAGTGTCACCTCCTTCTGTCTGACAGGAAAGCACATGTTTAAAACATTGAACTAAAGTCTGTTTTGAGGGTGAAAACGCTTGAGTTCTCACCTCTGTCTTCACTGTGTTTTAATTCCCAGTGCCAGCTGAGCAGAACAGGGTGTGAGGGCAGAACACACAGCACGAAGGGCTGGGGCAGTGCCTGCGTTTGAATATGCTGAGGCCAGCGTGAGGCAACCCAGCAGGCTCCTGGGCTGCCCTGTGGTTTGAATGCTTCCACATACCAATTGCAAGTCCTCTGTTTATTTACCTGCTACTAGTGTCAACAGCTTTGCTCAGATTATATCATTCCATTCTGGTCCGAAGGTTTTATTTGGAAATACTAGTATTTACAACTGTTGCCAAAGCAGCTGAAATAAAAAAAAAAATTCACAGATCCAAGAACAAAGAATCAGCTTTTTTCTTGAGCCTGCTGCTCTGCTTGCCCTCCTCCTTCCGCCATTTCCCACGTTGAAACAGCAGCTCTGTCCTGTAAGAAGGAGTGAGCAGGTCAGTCCCAGCAGTCTGGATCACACGGGTATCACATGTGCAGGTAGTTGGAGGCAGAGACTTGTAACGAAGCTCCATGCAGCAAGCTGTTCATCCCGTTAGGTAATGGGAGGTGGAGATACCATCTCACAGGAATGCAGCTGTTACTAACAACACCCAAAGCTGTCAAAGCCAGACAGTTCTCCCCAGTTAAGGAAAAAAACCCACAATAGAAATGTCACCTCTTTTATACGGAATGCTGCAGCGGTGTGTACTCTGTATCCTATGAATAACCTCTGTTAAACCCAGGCAATCACACTGTCATGTTTAAATGGCTCATATACATGGGAAACAGCTCTTCTTTGACAATACATGAGAAGGTACTGAGTAACTTCTGAATTTCAGGATAATAGCCTGTTGCTGTAAGTATCTAATGCAATACTGTCGTATTTTTGACAGTATTACAGTCAAACCATTTCCAACTCAAGATCCAGAAGTTCAGCGGCAATTGTTCACAATAGAAGTTAATGTACAATGTTACATGAGCTCTGACTCATGAGAGAGGCTGGAATACAGTGTAGAATTTTCTTCAGATTAAAGTGAAAACTGGTTTTGATGCAAAAATGCTCAATAGTACACCTCACTTGGTAGCACAGATCAGCTCGCATTTCAAGGACGCTACTGCAATGTAAGAAGACCGGTGGATATTTTAATCTGTTTGTTGCAAGTTCTCTAGCTTCAAACAGAAAGTCATCTGCATTGAGCAGCATGAGAAGAGAAACCAGTGTACAGAAATCACAAGCTTACCTGCTGAAGGAGAAACTGCCCTTGCTACAAACCTGATTTTTAAAGGAATTAAGTTACTAGCATTCTCTGAGCTGCCACTCACACCCTACACCAGCCAACTTCTCCCTGCCCAGCCCCAAACCAGGGGTTCATAGTCTGCACTGGGCAGAGATGAGGCCTGTCTGCTTCATCTGCTCTGCGGCTTTTCCTCCTGCACATGGACTGACCTCAGCTGCACAGGACAGATGTGTATCATGTGCTCATTGTGGGGTTCATAAAAGTTTCATGAAGATCAGAGGCTGGGTAGACAAGAGAAATTCAGATTACTTCCTCAAGCACCTACAAAGCAAGCAGGACCCAGTTGCTCAGCACTGCACTAGCACAACATTTTCAGCAGCAGCCAACCCACCCAGCCAGGCAGACTTGTGCCAAGCATGAGGGTGGCAAGGGCCCTGCCTTGGGCAGGATTGGGTCATGTCACATCACTCAGTTTGCAGGACTCCTCTGGCATTTGCAAAGGCAAGATCTGGGCAACCTCCACAGCACACCTTCTACAGGATCAGCAAACAAAGCAGGAGCAGAGTTTGGGCATGTGGTGTGTGTGCTTGTAGGTGTGTTTTGTCTTCACAAGGAAACTATTCTGGGACAAGCAGGAGACAGATTATGCCAAGCTCCAGGTTATTAAAAAAGACAATTGAAATAACTGGAATAGGCTGAATCCTGACTAAGGGCAATTTCCAGGAGGTTATTAAACATCTGTAAATCCCTTCAAAAACAAATCTGCAGAAGGGTGGAGGTGGGGCTGCAGCTGTTTTGCCAAACACATCAAAAGGGGATCACCTCCAAGACACTATCTCAGTGCAGTTGTTTGGATTTGCAAACTTTCTTCACAGGTAAGTGGAGCGAGGATTTAGCTACGTACAAACAAGGAAACATGTTCCAGCTTCCCACAGTCTTCCTTTGCTTTCACAGCTGTAGCTCACCACTGCTGCACTTGGCCCCTCACCCCAGTTTGTTTCAGCACACTCCCTTTCATCTGAGATCATGAGGCAGCTGACCACACTTCATGTTTGGATTTAATAGGTGTGCTAACAAATGACAGCTCTCACATTCAGCAGTTAAAGAGGATGAATGCCGTCACTCCTTAATATCACTGTGCTTTACATCCTCCCATTGGTAAAACCATGTGAGAGAAGAAGCAGCAGCTTGGGGGGAGGGAGGAAGATGCTGGAGGGAAAGTGAGAGATTACTCTGTACATAATGAGTGACACTGACCCAGAGGCCTGGAGCAGAGGGGAGGAGGGCAGTGAAACAAGAGGAACTGACAGAAGCAGCACCTGTTAAAGCAGCAATAGAGCACACGGAAACCAGGAGGAGACAATAACCCAGTGAAGGGATTTCTCCTGACTAGGCACCACCATTGGGGTAATGGAAAAGAACAGTGGTATTCTTTATAGGCCAAAAGCAGGAAGCAGGCTGGAGAGAGGAGTGGCAGAGGAATCTGGCAAAGTACTTATGGCACAGGAACAGGTGGGAATGGAGATGGGGAAAACAGACACTTTCTCATAAAGACCTGAATGCATGGAGGGTAGAGGACCGGCACTATTTTCGTAAGTCATCTGAGTTTACTTTCCAGGTCCTCTGCAATCATTTCAAAGATTACACACATTACTCATACTTTTCCTTCTGGATTGAGCTTGGGAAACGGATTTCTGAGCATTATGGGATTCTCAGTGGCTAAACAACACACTTTAGTAACTGTAGAAGTAATAGTAACTACATTGAGGTTGCATTGAGGCATGAGGCTGAAGGGGAGCAGAAGACTAGCAGTGCAACCAGGCAAGGGTTTAACTTGACCACCTGCTGATGCAGTCACACAGCAAGCAGGGTACAACACCAAAAGCTGCTGGAGGGGCACAAGGGGCAAAACCAAATGTTGCCTTAAAAAGTGAGTAACGGCCTCAGGCAGAGGGTTACTTGTACCTTTATGTGGATTCCAAAGGCAACAAGGTCTTCACGCAGACTGTCGCAGGCCTCCAACAGGGGTCTTCTCTCCCGCATTAGCTGCTGCCTCTTTTCCTTCTCTTCCGGTTTTGATCCTTTGGCTCCTGCATCACCCTCCACTGATGCAGTCCCTGCTGCCTCCGGCAGAGCAAGTGCATAATGACGGACCTTTGTGCGGAACTGTACGAGCTCATCAATGACATTGGAGAGCACAGCAGAGTTGTCCCCTCTCAGAGCCACCTAGAAACCAAACAGGTTGATTCAGAAACATCTGAGAATGATTTATAGGCTTTAAACTGAAAGAGGATCGACTTAGATTAGGCATTTGGAAGAAGTTCTTTCCCATGAGAGTAGTGAGTCACTGGCACAGGTTGCCCGGAGGAGCTGTGGCTGCCCCATCCCCGGCCATGTTCAAGGCCAGGTGGGATGGGGTGCTGAGCAGCCAAGTCTAGTGGAAGGTGTCTGCCTGTGGTACGGGGTTGGAACTAGATGCTAGATGGTCTTTAAGGTCCTTCCAACACAAACCTATATGATTCCGTGATTTAAAAGTCAACCCCAACTTAGTAGCATACACTGAGGCCTCATCACCTCTTTTGGTTGTGCATCTTCCATGCATTGGTATGTTTAAAATGTAACAATCTCATTAATGCTAGACAAAAAAGTTAGAGTGGAAGTAGTTAAACATATTCCTACACAGGAAAGTGTCTGTTTTGGAGCTCTCATATGAATATAACATGCTTCATAACCCAACTGTGGAATTCATTGCCACAGGAAACCTCTGAGATGCCCAAAGCATGCATAAGTTAAAAAGGAATTAGACAAATTAATGGGAAAAAGGCTGATAACAGCCAAATGACACAGAGGGAAGCCCAGCCACCAGCTCCGCTGGCCCCTCAGCTGAGCTACATCTACAGAGCTGGAGAGCACAGCAGCCCCTTCCTCTGTCTTTGAGCTCCAGACCTTCTTCAGGAAACACAAACCAGGAAAAGTAAGTACTTCGGCTTTAAGTCTCTAGGCTATCCTTTCTCCTTGCATCCATAGGAAACCCCCCCCAAGTCCACAGAACTTACCTGATCCACCTTATCCAAAGTTCCAGCTATGCCAAAAAGACCTGACCAAGCAGCAGCCATGGCACACAGTGAATGTTTTCTGGCTACTGCCTGGCCTCCTCCTTCCCTCAGCCAGCTCCAAGCTTGCTCAGCCTCCTCTGGCTTGGCAGAGTCCTGCTGGTCAACACCATGGGAAGGGAATAGGCCTGCTTCTCCTTGAGGGTCCCACTCTGATGGCTGCCAGGCCGAGGGCTCAGGTGCTAGCCGGAGAGGACAGCTCTTTGGCACTGACACAGCCCAGCTCCCACTCTCAGCAGACACCATCCCTGCTCCTCATTACAGGCAAACTCCTAAGCGGGAGGAACAGGACAAACCTCCACCAAACAAGAGAACGCCGCCGCAGCATTTTATCACCAAGGCACAAGACGGGGAGCAGACAATGGAGCAGTGAAATGTGAAGCACACCAAGGCCGGGGGGCAAAGCTGCCGGCAGCAACACTCGACTGGGAGCATAAGAGCAGCTGAGTAATTAAAGCTAGAGGGGACGGTATTTAGTCACTGAACAGCAGGATGGAAATGAAAGGGAGTAGTTTCAGAGGTCACTGACTGAAGCAAACAAAGAGGAGGAGGAGGTGGTGAGGGGGAGGCTATTGAAGAGATGCTCAGTGCTCTCCATAATCGTAAGAGGCAGCAAATTCCCCAAACTTTCAGAACATGTAAATGTACTAAAGAAGTTTGAGATTGAATAAGGTAATTTAAGTGCCAGAAATGCTCCATCGTAACCTGGGGCAGGAAAAGTAGCAGGATAAATGCTTAAATACAGAAGAGAGATGAAAGACAAATGAAGAGGGGAGCAGAAAATGCACCTCTACAAACACCACTGCCAAAGTTCCAACCAGGCACCTACTCTTAAGACAAGGCAAGATCCTCTAAAACGATGGGAGAGTTAGGACATGAACTGATCCAATTTCCACATAAAACACAGTGTAGCGTCTCAGGGCTGATATGCAATTTCTCCTCCTGCAGAGCCGACCACTCCGAAGAGCTCCTAAGAATTTTATATGGAAATTGGGTCCTTGCCTACCCCACCTGTTTGCCACCAGCTGCATCCACAATACAGCACTCCTCAGCACACCCAAACCCCTCACCTTTGCTCCCCAGCTCTAAAACAGGCACGACAGTTTCCACCTCTCATCTTTTCAGACAGATTCATCTTACCTGCCTGTGGTTGTCCAGGCTTCTTCTCTTGCCAATGCAAAGAGACAGGCAGCCTTATTTTATACAGCCACCAGGTTAAGATGAATCGTTCCTTAGCAGTGCCTCTCTCCACCGACTACTGCAGAAGCACAGGCAGCTACATTAGATGCAAGGCTCATTAGCAGAGATGAATCCCATCCTAGGAGCAACACAGACCCCACAGTCTATATGCAAACAACTAAATGAAGAGGGCCCAAATACAACTCTCTGCATTAAGCTTTTACACAGGCAAGCTAGCCCCCTCCCAGGCACCCCACAGATTAGGACCCACAGTGATCAGGGACTGCACTCACAAGCTGCATGCCTGGGGCCACCCAACTAAAACGCAAGAGAGGCTGGATGCTGAGCTGTTGTAGATAGTCTCAGGGTCAGAGAACAATCCCTTCACTGTTTTATTTACTAGCTTGTGGCATCCCACAGACCCTTCTGATGAAGATTTTGATTGATTCATTTGCTAGAACCACCAAGGGACAGAACAGTCTGACAAGATCCTTCCTTCCTATCTCTCACCAACGCCTTCTGGTGACCTTGCTGCTCCTGAGAAACCAGCACAGCATGCAAAAAGGAAAGCATTCACACACTTATTTCAGCAAAAATAGAAGTGCAGTAGGCACCTTCATACAGACAGTCCAGGGGACTCCAACTGGATGGCTCATTTGCCATCCAACGTACGTCTGTAAGTGTTTAGTACACCACTGAAAATTAGCATGACAAAACATGGGTTATGAGGAGTTACACACAGCCAAATCACATCCAACCACTGTTACAAAAGAAATTTTGTGGGAAAACCCATAAAGAGGCAAAGTAAATAAATACTTTTATTGCCTACTTTCAAAGTGTGAATAACTTTAGTTGTGTTTTCTTATCCTCTTCTCCCCCTCCCCAGAAGAAATCTTTGCATAAGTTTCTCTAAGGAAATTTTCCAACTTCTTGGTATTCAGCTCCAGACCCAAGCAGAAGAGGAGCACAGAACAGTCGGCTTGTCTCTAACACCTTGTGTCATTTTAAGCGCTGCCTTTCCATACTTCAGGGCATCACCTCCATATTTATAACTCTCCTCCCTGTGCAGTACTTTGCTTTGAGCTTTTCTCTCCCCCTTTTTTTTCCTCCACATTCCTACCTTTTCAAACACTAGAGGATATGCACGGTATTTCCAATTATAGGCCCTCTCTGCTGCCCTCCCCTCCCCGCACCATGGCTTTCCGCCGGAGCTGGACCCTGGCTCCTGCTGTGCAGGGAGGTCACAACCACAAATACATAAATATTCTTATGGCTATAAAGTCAGACTGGGTACAACCATCACAAAGAAGAGGAAGAGCCAGTGGAAAGCCAGGCACGTAACAGGACCAACTCAAAGGCCTCCAAAGCTAACTTCTTCTCATTTCATTCCTGACTTTCATTTCCACAGCACAACTGCTGCACAAGTCACATGGGAGTACCTCTGAGAAGAAAAAAAGCCCTTACTTTGTTCCATCTGCTCACATGCTCTCCTCAGACATCACACAGAAACTGCAAGCGGTGCAGAAAGGTTTACTAAAGGTTTACTAAAACCATAAATAACTTTGTTATATCTGATGCTTTCAGAAAGCATTCTATAAAACGTAACACTGGTGTTGGTACCATATACTAGTACACACAGAAAAGATGTTTCATACCTCTCTTTCTCCAAAGGACATCCCAAGGGCATTAAAAAAGCCTTCTATATAGGAAATAATGCTTCCATACACAACAGAGCTTCTAGGAGATCCAGCATCCTGTTTGAAAAACACTCAAAAGAGATTGTCCAGTCAATATATGTTACAGAACTTGGCATCTCTCTCCAGCCTAGTCCACAAGGGAAAACTGTTACTAATCATATAGATTTACGTCCACCAGTATCACCTACCCAGACAGGGACTTTTACAGAGATATAAAAGCATCTCACAACACAAAGGGAAAAAGACTTAAGTGAACGGGGAGGGGAAGAGTTTATCACCAGCATGCCCAGCAAGGAGAAGAGATGCGTGAAGCTGCCATGTTATTACATGCACAGTCAATTAGACCTAAAAATAGCACTTCTGGGCATGAAAGGGCTGTGTGTGTGAAAACAAAATAAAAGAACAAAACCCCAGATTCAAGGGCAGCTATAAAACAAATGGTTAAAAAAAACTCAACAAATCCTTTTTTTGAGTCTTATTGATTTAAATAACATGAAGGCTGCTTTGAGATAGCTTATGGCTTATCTTACCACGCCCTGGGAGCACCAGCAACCACCAGCAGCAGCAACAGAATCGTGCTTTTAACACCACATGCATTTCTTTCTTTCCTCCATATTTATTTCACACACACACACAAAATTAAAATCAAGATTAAATGACAGACCAAGAAGCAATTTCAGGGACTAATCTCTTGCCTGATAAAGAGAGTGATGACACACACAACCAAATTAGCAGCTGGTACTAGATTTCATCCAGTACCTCCATAAGGGCCTAAAATCATAGAATCACAGAATGGTTTGTGTTGGAAGTGACCTTAAAGCTTATCTAGTAGCAACCCCAATGTCATGGGCAAGGACACCTTCCACTAGACTAGGTTGCTTGAGGCCCCATCCAACCCAGCCTTCAACACTGCCAGGGATGGGGCAGCCACAGCTTCTCTGGGCAACCTGTTCCAAAATACAAGGTAAGATAAGCCATAACCTAAAGTTTGAAAAAGATCTGAACTAGAAGGAGCTGAAGCAGAGCACTGAGGGGAAGAGACAGGAATGTACCAAGGTAAGAATGGTAAGAAGGTTAGGGAGAGGAAAGAGTAGTTATGTGTACGTGAAATTACTACACCGTTCTTAAAGGCAAAACACTACACGCACAGTCATTAAGAGGTAACGCTCAGGCAGCTGGGCTGCACCCTGGAAAATTCCACCACAGCAACCAGAAATCCGAGTCAGCTGCCCTGCAAGCATCCCATCCCATTCTCCAGGAAATGGCTGACAAAAGGAATTCAGGGGAAACAAGCAATGCCTGGCAAATGAGGCTACATGTATTTAGGAGTGCTAACGCTGTTACAGAGCCCTGCTGCAAACTGGTTTGGGTCACAGATTCCCTCAGAGAGTTGTTTTGTAAAGATAAGGCCAAGGACAGAATGTAAAGCCAGAGCCAAAACAGGACCAGGAGGAGGCAGGATTTCTAAACCAACAGCCTAATTCTCTCTTAAAATCAGGTATTACAACGTACTCAATGCTCCTTTTACAGCGCAAACATGGTTAACATGAGGACATCAGCAATAAAGCACCGCAGCAACAAAGCTGAGCTGCTCGCCTTGAGCAAGAAAGGGAGCTGCTGGTGAAAGGAGACCCAGAAGTGCTTCAGACAGTGTTTGCTGCTCAGGTCTTGTCTCCAGACGCTTCCTTTGTGTCAGCATCGAGAGGTCTTAACAGGGTCTCAATTTGCCAAAACCCATCTGAAAACAGACTCCTGCAGGCATGCTGCGGCCACAGCTATAATCTGCCTAAGCCACTCAGTCCCCAAAGCTGAACTCACCACTGTGACTGCCCCATGCAGCTGGGACTGTCTGCCAAAGCACCCCCCTCCCAGCACACCCCCCCCCATTTCCCAGTTTAGGTTGATTTCTGTGCATGAATATTATGCAAAGAAGCAGGGTAAGAACATAAAACCAGCACTAAAATTACCAGCATGCCACAGCGGCTTCAGGCCTTTCAAAAGCCTTTGTTATAAATAATACAGGGCAGCAGGAAAGAAACATCCTCTGGACACAAAACAATAGCTTCACACAATTCCTGCTATATGGTCAGGACAAATGGGCACCACTAAGGTCAACAATTTATGGAGCTTTGTTTCTGCTGGTTTCTTATGTGAACAATAAACTAATCTGTCTGCATTAAACAGTAGGACAGTGGACAGCTGTCATTTTCTGATCTCTGTATCCTAATGGGTTACCTTAGTAACAGCCTTAAGCTGTCTGTTGCCATGGTGAATGAGGTCCATAATTGCTGCAACAGCCCTGGAGGTGTCAAAGTCATCTGCAAATGCAGCCTTCACGGTTACTTTTGTGTTGGCTAGCCTTCAAGAAGAAAAGGTAGCATTTAAGATAAGACAAACAAGATGCCAGCAGTACACTGGATTCATCAGCTATTCAGCCAGAGGGAGTCATCGAAAGGACGCTTTCATTTTCTTCCTAGCTGTCCTATGATGGGTGATGCTACACTGATAAGGGGGAATACATCTTTCAGCTGCAAAGGGAAAAACTTGATGAATCTCAAAAGCTGAAGTTCTGCATCCATTCAATAAATACAGGAGCCAACAACGCCTTAGCCAATTAAAGTCAGATGAAAAATGAGACTGATATTAAGCATGTTAAAGATTTTGCTAAGTTCTTTTCTTTTTCCAGCAGCCCATTTTTCATACTAACAGTGCGCTTCTCTTCCAAAGCCACATCACACACATCCAGTGCCTGGGAAGAGTGCTGACACGGGGTCTGCTAGGAGTCCTGTTGGCAGGATCCAGCTCAAAAGCAAGCACTGCTTCCTCATTTCCCAGGAGAGCCTAATCCCAGACTCCAGACTCTGCTTGGCTTGGCCCAGATGGAGACGTCTGGTGGGACTGTTTGTGTAACGGCATCAAAAGCCAGCAGGCAGCCAGCACTCATCACCACAGAACCACTGCCACCACTCGGAGCTGGGCAGTGAGAACAGCAGCAGAAATAAATGGTGAGCTGTGGATAGCTGCTGGCAGCGCACTCTTGTACACAGCCAGGTGAAATGGACCTCAATAGCACTGACCCAAGAGTGCTGTTTCTCCCCCTCCCCCAGGGAGTAGGGTTACCTGGGGAAACAAGCTATTCCAGAACCTCTGGGGCTATCCTGAACCCCAGAAGAGTGATTTTGCCTGGAATGCCTCCCCTCGGATATCAGATGGCTGCTGCCCTAACTCCTTCGTCACAACACTCTTCCCTGCAAGCTTCTCCCTCTATGCTGAATATCTACCACTTTCCTAATAAAGAGCTCTGTTTCATTTTGGTTGGGTTTACATCTACTAATACACAAGTTGTGCCCTCCCACATATCCCCCACTGACAATCCATTTCAACTTCCCCAAGTGCCTCATGTCTCTCAGCCTTATCTCTCACCAACAGGTTACCTGTAGTCTCCTGCTGAACGACCTGCTTTTGCCAAATACCACAACTAGTTAATTCAGCTCTGCTTCCCTGTAACATGTTCCAGTGCCCCTTGCAAGCCTTAGCTGGTGCAGCTGCAAGCTCCCCAGCCGCGAGGTGCCAGTACCACAGGGAAGCCATCTCACATTTCTACAGCACTTACCCTCTGACCCTACATCCCAATTCCTAAACCTCCTGCACATACACTGTTTCAGGGTGCTCAGCTCCCTCCCCTCTTACCCCAACTCCAGAGCACTGCACTAATCTCAGCTTTACACCCAATGCACAGCACATCACTCTCCTGGAAGATGATCTGCTTCCCTAAGGGACTCCAAAGGAGATTCTCCTCCTCAGGGCCACAACCAACAATTTCTTTTTTCCTTGTGACATCTCTGCTCCCAGCCAGTTTCTTAGTAACCCCTTCTCTCCTCTGCTGAAGGCCACAGTGCCAGCTAGGTTGATTTCACGCTCATATACCTAAGGCATATCACTTTCCAGCCATCCTCTTCTTCAGCCACTAACACACAATTATATTTATAACCAGGAAGTCTCACAACTTCAGTCATAGCTTTGCCTTTTGCAACACTTGAGAGGGACAAAGATGCCTGTGTTAGAACAGGCACACTAGATAAATAACACGGATTTTAAAAACACAATGAACTAAATGTAGCAGACTACAAGGAAAAGCAGCTGGCTAGGAAAAGAAGAATGCCCTGGTTTTGGTGAGGGCTGGCAGGGAAGTTTGCCTCTCAGTCCTTCTTGTCCTGCTTCTTAAACTGAACTCAGAACACCACACTTTTCATCCCTCTGAGCCTGTCAGCAAGCCACTGTTCACATAATCACAATCTTTAAAATACGGGTGCACTTACCTTTCCCACAGTATGTCTTCTCTAACAGGGTCACATATCAGCTGTCCTTTTATATAAGCATTTGCATCTTTAATAAATGAGGAGATTGCCTGAAGAAGGTTCTTTGCATCATCCATGCTCTCATCACTGAATTCTACTGCTACAGAGAAAATAAAAAACATCTATTAGGATGTTATGACAGAGAGGATGGTGTCTGTCATACATAGGAACAATATTCTGAGACAAAGTCATTCCAGGAAAAGTTTGTTATTATTTGTCACAATAAACTTTTCTTACAATTAATTGCACATTTAATTAAAACCTCCATTCTTCATGCACACTTGGTGAATTAAATCAATATAAAAGACAATCACTACATATGACAAAGTACTAACTTACTGGAAAGGTATCAGACTTATTCAAAAACTGTCTGGAAACTGACTGAAGCATTCGCTACTTGGCATTATTATTACTGAATCTGTAAAGTTATTGCTCCAAACCATTTGAATATATTTCTAGGCATCCCCCCAGATTTCAGCTGGCAAGGCATATCTTTGATCCCACCTCTAATTTTGTTCCTATTCTAATTTAGGTAGTCATGATCTGCACTCGCAGCCCAGAAAGCCAACCACATATGGGTTGCATCAAAAAGCCAGCAGGTCGAAGGAGGTGATCCTGTCCCTTTACTCTGCTCTCATGAGACCCCCCCCTTGGAGTACTGTGTACAGTTCTGGTGTCCTCAACATACAAAGGTCATGGAACTGTTGCAGAACATCCAGAGGAGGGCCATCAAGATGATCAGAGGGCTGGAGCACCTCTGCTATGAAGACAGGCTGAGATAGCTGGGCTTTTTCAACCTGGAGAAGAGAAGGCTCTGGGGAGACCTTAGAGCAGCCTTCCAGTACCTAAAGGGACTTAACAAGAAATCTAGAGAGGAACTTCTTACATGAGCCTGAAGTAACAGGACAAGGCGAATGGCTTTAAACTGAAAGAGGGGAGATTTAGATTAAATATTAGGAAGCAGCTCTTTACTGTGAGGGTGATGATACACTGGCACAGTTTGCCCAGAGAAGCTGTAGGTTGCCCAAGGAAGTTGTGAATGCTCCATCCCTGGCAGTGTTCAAGGCCAGGCTGGGCAGGGCTTTGAGCAACCTGGTGTAGTGGAAGGTGTCCCTGACCATGGCAGAGGGGCTGGAACCAAGTGGTCTTTAAGCTCCCTGCCAAGCCAAACTATTCAGTAATTCTATATATATCACACCAGAGTTGATGACTTGAATCAAAGCACCATTTGCAGCCAGTGAAATATTGCTTCACCATTTTATGCCTGACCTCTGCACTAAGGTGCAGTCAAACTACAGCTTGTAGCGTATTTCTAATCTCATCAGCACTGAGCATCACCTGTAGCTTCCACAGCAACCTCACCTCTGGTCCTACACACATTACAGCCAACTACTTTGTGCAATTACACAATGCTGCCAAGACACAGACTCTTTAGAGCAGACAGTCTGAGAAAGGGGGCAGTTCTAAGAGGACAGAAACAGCCAGATGCAAGACCTGATCTCAGTTCCATTAGCCTAAGTCCCAAAGAAGCCTAAATGTTTAAACAGACTTTCCATATTATTTACCCCAGTATAACTAAGGCATAAGTCTGGAACCATGTTTGTCAGATTTTCCACTTGTATGTAATTAAAAATCTGCATTATGGCCTCATTAACACCAGTTTTAAAAAATTAAGCTTTACTCAGCTTCAAAAAAAAGACTTACGTACAGACTTTCGGAAAACAGTGAGATATTGAAAGCAATCATTTATACCCAACAAGATTACTCAACTGATTACCCTGGCTACAGGAACTCCATGAGGAATACCTGATGAAAGTTTATCCTGATGAAGCCTGCTTTGATTAAAGCCATTCTTCTTCCCCGATTCATGGCACTTTCCTAAGCCACCGCCTGCAGGCACTGCAAACCCACAGCATGGCACCGGCAAACCCAGCTCTATAAACCCCTACTGTACTCCCTGCTCCCTCCCTCTTCTGCATCATTGCTACATTATCAAATCACAAACCACATGTTTTTTAGCACCACCAAGTAATTAAAGACCAGAGGGACCAAAAAGTTACAGTTCACTCAGGTTCACAAAATCACCGCAGCGGTTCTGGTGACCAGCAGAGTGTTTTGGGACATAACCCTGATGCCTGCAGCGGGCTCACAACCCCTCCACTTAACTGCATAAAGCAAAGGCACTGCCATTATTTGCCAAGGCAAGCTTGGAAACTGCCAGCCGTTTGGCTTTGGTTTACAGGACAAATACATATGTATGTGATGATGTTGTAAGTGTTAGCCTTTTTTCTTCTGTTTTAAATACACTCCCAAGTGTTCCTAGCTGAAGCCAGGGAGCCATTTATGTGTGCACAATGTATTTCATCTCTTGACAGAGACCCGTCGCATGTCACCATCCTGCTGCCTCACCCTGCAGTGGCAGTACTCCCCACTGCCTGCCTCTCTCCTGCTCCAAATGGGGACTTGATCTGCAGCAAACTTCCCACCTGAATGTGCTCCTCCCTTCCTGCCACAGTGGGGATGGGCAGGTAATAACCAGGAGTATCTTTACTATCCCAAGCTTCAAAATATTTCAGAGATATATGGCATTCCCGGTGCCTTCAGCTGCCTTAGTAGAGGGAGGCTCTACCAGAGGATCAAACAGGTGGCTCCTGCAAGCATCTAGAGTTATTAACAAGCAAAATATTTCTCAGTCCAACGACTGCACCTCTATCAAGGCTTGCATGCTGACAGACAGTAGCAAAGCCACAGAGCTTTAACCATGCCATCTTTCCCAGTCGAAGTGCTAGAGGTGCTTCATTTGAGGCAGTTAGAGGCCCACTGAAGTAACACAGCAGGTGTTGCCCTGTGCTCCACCATTCCCTTACCATGCCAGGATGGCCAATGGGCCACAGACAGTTAGGGAACTACCATATGCTTTTGGCAGACTGCCATAAAGTGGTAAAAATGCTATGGAATCAGTATTTTCATGTTGTATATCAAAACCTCTTCCAGTTCAAAGTAGCATCTGCCTGCTGGAAATACAACAGTGTAGACAGGGAAGCTGACAAAATCTCTCACACCTCTCCCCACAAGCAGTGTTCCTCAAGCCAAGATGATCATTAGGTTATCGAAGTGTAAGTGAGCTGCACTACGCCAAAGAACTGCTTGAACACTCAGTAATTCCACAGAACAAAGAATGATAACACAGCAGGGAGACAGAAAGTTATTCGCAAGCCCCCGTCATACCCTACAGGAATATAAGGCAAAGCTCTACCTAGACAGATCTCAAAAACCAGCTGATCATATCTGAAATACAAGTGACTGCAACAGAGGCAAATCAGAGATGGAGGTAATTCATTAACTGAAAGTGCAGTTAACTGAGAATTGCAATTAACTGCAGCTCAGGAAGGTATTTAGATGAATGACTGTGTACTGTGCTCAGTAAAGATGCTTTTCTACACAAGAACCAAAGAACAGCCCCTCAGAGCATTGCCAACCTTTTCACCCAACAGAAGGACGCTGCAAGGCACCACAAGGAGCACTCACTCCACCACACCTCTGCATTGCCATCTTGGGAAGCATGCGTGTGTGGAAAGCCATATCCCAACAAATAACAGGGGTTTTCATCTCACCTGAGCTGTATCTGCTGCGCAAACAATACATCCTGAATTGATCCGATGAAAATTTCTTCAGGAAATCCTGAATTCCACCCACAAAAAGAAAGCGTTAGCAGTACATCAAACAATTACTTCAGGGGTTGTTCCACTCCCTTACGCCAGTTTCATAGCATATTTCAGGCAAACAAACATAACAACCAATCTTCATAGTTTAAGATACTGGTTTAAACACTGGTTTAAAGTCTAAACTAAGTAAGATTTAATTCCATATAAGACAGATGTGCATCTATACAAGACATAAACATACACACAATGTCACACACAAGACAGTCAAAGTACTTTGTAATTATGATCAAACATACACTGTATGAAGACCTTTGCAAAAACACCAAACTAAAATTACCAAACTAAGACTAGGATACAAGCTTGCAGGAAAGTACAGGTCCTGAGTTTTGAAAGCTTTAAGGAAAAAGAAAGATTTATTGAAAAACAAAGTAAGTGTACCTCTTTTGCAGGACTAGAATACGCAAAAACAGGGAGTTAACAAAAAATAACTTCTTTTAATATTGCCAGAATTCAGCTGTTTTAATTATGAAACCTCATTAATCATACCCTAATGCTTATCCAGCTTTACAAACAGTTTACTATACAAAAGAGTAAATTATTACTATTAGTGTAATTTATACTAATAGTATAGAGGAATATTTAAATGCTTGAAAGGTACACTGGTAAAACCTTCAACACTTCCAACTCTGCTCTCAGCAAGGCTGGACACTATGGCAGATTGACTGTCAACACTACATTCCTGCCTCTTTTTCTAATTTCCAAACTGCTGATGGTAAGTTTGAAGTGCCACCGAAACAGAAAATCATGAAATAAAATCAACACAAGTGAGAAAATCTGGAAAGTGTAATTTATGTCCTTAAAGATGCATATTTCAAAGCTGAGCTTCTGCTACCAGACTAAACCAGCTTGAACACTGAAGTTACCCAAGTACCAGCAACATGCTGTCTCTCAAGTAAAACCAGAAATAACTGAGGCAATTAGGGCAAGCTAAATGAAGAAATAAACAGTGATACTGCTTGTTTCAGTAGGTGGGTTTTTGGTTTTGTTGTTGTTTGGTTTTGTTCTTTTAAAAAAAATCTATGTAACTGAGGGCACCCATGGTGCCCAGAAGCTTTCCACTAACATACAGAGGTAGAACAATACGAGTAAAGTACAGAAATACTTCAAACTTGGCAAATGACCATCCAAACCAGAAAAAAAAAAGAAAGCAATTTAGCATTTTATTAAAACAGTACAGAGAAAGCATCACACCTCTTTCAAAGCAGGCTGCTCAGCCATGCATGATCACAACATGCTTGACTTGGGAGGTCAGAATGAACAGCTATTAAGAAAAAAGGTCAGGGGGGGAAAATCAGAGAAGGGGACAAGGGGCAGTGAAAACAGAGCAGCTGGATGTGGAGGGTGCAAGGTGACTGTGCCTGGGTGACAGCCTGAAATACAGGCAGCCAGCACCACAGGAAGGTCCCGGGCATGCTTCCCCTCTTTTGGGGTGTAAAAACTTCCACACAGGGCTTAACTGTCAAGATGCAGGAAAGCTGTACAGGAAGAAATTTGTTTTATTGGACCAAAAGTCACTTACAGGGAAGGATTAATACTAGTTAGCCATGCCTAAGGGCAGAAATTAAAAGCAGAGACCCATAAGGGAAGAGAGACAGATCTCAAGTTTTTGTTTTCTCAGCACAAAGAAGTCCCACTGCAGATGTGGAGGGAACATTTTTATATGTTACTTCTAATTGCATACATTGCATCTGTGATCATTTCTCCATCCTGTTCATGAAATTGCTGTGAAAACCATGAGCGATGGGTAATTTTCTTGGGGAGACAGGGCTAAACTGTACCCAGACAGCATCAGGAGAATTAAGAATAAAGCAGCTCACACTGAACTCCTTTTTAAAGGGATTTTAATTAAGTCTTCCAAGAGGGCAAAGGGGAACATATGTGCTGAAAGAGCTCCTCAAGCTTTGTCTAAAGGAAGGAAATTACCCACTTTTAGGAATAAGTGTCAGCCATCACTGGAGCCACCCTAGCACCAAGCACAGCCGTATCCCACATGCCTAGCACAGAAATCCTGCTCTGGGCTACACCAAAAACTTTGGGATGCAGTAAACCAGGACGTATTCATGTGGCTTATGGCTGCCAAAGACAAAGTTCTATGTGCATCAGCAAGGTCACTGAAAAGGAAAATACAAGAGACCACTGGCACAGTGCAGTTGCAGGACACCCAATGCTGACACTGTGTCCCACTTCACCTAAAGCAGAACGAGGAAGTATGTCTGCTCTTTTCTAAGTCCCAAAAGCATATGCACTATTAAGAGCAGACAGACGAGAACCCATCACTACAGAACAGAATCACTTAGGTTGGAAAAGGCCCTTGATATCATCAAGTCCAACCACAAACCTATAATGCAGAAGTCTGGTACTGGGCACAAATGCTGCTCCTACACTCTCAACAAGATCACGTCATAAGCAAGCCCTGAGTCTGAGCAGGTTTCTGACATCTGGATCCACAATAACAGGTACACACACCAGCACTAGAGAAACACTCTGCTTCAGGTCTTTCTCTACAGCACAAGCACACTCTCCAAAGTTTCCTTAGAAGAAGGCTGTGATTAATATTTACATATTACAAACACACATTGCTTCGATTTACAGAAACAGATTACCTTAACTGTTATGTAGTTTTTTAATGACTTGGACATTTTTTCTTGACTTCCTTTAACATGCAAATGCCCTAGAACAAAACCAAACAGAATTAATGAGGATAAATGAGCATGCTTCTGAATGGGGACTGAATGAGAAACACTGCACTGAGACACTGGAAACGCTAGAGGCAGCATACGCTGTGGTTCACATGCATCAACCATTTCAGTGCAACACATTTTAATAGCTTTGCTAGCACAAAAAAAAAAAAAATCCCCACAAAACACTCCCTGACAAAATAGCACCAGCATGGGGCAAGACATCAAGGAAAAAATGTCTCCCTTCAAGCAAGCAAACACTTCTCAGTCTTCACAGAAAAGTACCTTGCCTGCTACTCTTGACTTTCCAGAAATATTTTAAGACATTTAAAGATCTTCCAATAATCTCACATTACAATATTCCTGAAACTCAAACAATTTTCTGCACTTACTACTGCTGGTGGCTGTTGCTCTTTTTTTAATCTATAATTTTATTATGCTGGTTCAAAATACATGTAAAATTAATTTTCTGCACATGCCCTATTTCTCCAGATTTTGGGAGACTAAGAAAAAAGGGGAGTGATGTAGCTATGATGCCTAATTTGAATTAGCTCATTTTAAAACACACTCTCTGAGCATTGCTGGAGCTTCCAACAGTCACACGGACTGTTGGTTTGCAGGGCTGTTGTACAGGAAAAAAGCAGTAACTGTCTCCATCACATTTAGCAAAGTATGGAGAGCTTGGCTTCAGGACTGAAAGCTTTCATTGGCTTCTCCTAATAAAAGAGTGATCCTGTAAGTTACCAAGCACCCACAACTAACACAATTTTTAGGCGCTAATGGCCTGCAGAACCCAGCACTTAATAGTACTTAGAAACAGATTTTTAAGCAGAAACTTTTCTTACTCTGTAATAGAATCATAGAATCATTTACATTAGAAAAGACTTTTCAGATCATCAAGTCAAACCATTACCCCAGGACTGCCGAGTCCACCACTAAACAATGTCACTGAGGGCCTCATCTACATGTTTTCTGAACACTTCTGGGGCTGGTGATTCCACCACTTCCATAGGCAGCCTGTTCCAACACCTGACTGTTCTTTTGGTGAAGAAATTTTTCCTAATATCCAATCTAACCTTCCCCTGGTGCAACTTGAGGCTGTTACCTTTTGTCCTACCACTTCTTACATGGGAGAAGAGACCAGTCACCTCCTCACTCCATACTCCTTTCAGGTGGTTGTAGAGAGTCATAAGGTCCCCCTGAGACTTCTCTTCTCCAAGCTAAACCCCAACTTCTCCTGGGAGAAGGAAAATTGTTTTCTTATTTTGCAAAGGTTCCTAAATATTGACTGACTTAACTTTGAGCAGCCAAGCTTAAAATAGTTTGTGTTTTCCTAGTAACATACAGGTGACATCTGAATTTGAAATAATATTCCTCTTCAAGAGTTTCAGCACTTAGAATGATTTCATTAAAGAATCACAAAATACAAGGATTTTCATAACTTTGGCTTGGCACTCTTCCCAGAGTACAAGTAATCTAAAAATAAAGTCCTTTAAGAAGATTTATGCCCAGTGCAGGGATTTTCTTCCTCTAATGGGGATTGCTCCTCCAATTCTGAGCCTGCTAAAATTCTGAAGTCTGTTTCCAGAATAAATTGTTTCTGAAGCTGACTCATTTGCCCTAAATAATTCACACTATCATCCTCCAGCAATTTTTTTTTTTGACTTAAAGAATGTAATCTGTCAGCTCCTGGAGAATCTCAGTGTACAAACTGCCCTTGGAATCAAGTTTGGGATTTTTTTCCCCTATTTTTCTTTTTCTGCTTGTTTAAGAAGAATTGACTCCTCTTCAGCTAGCTAGTTTCAAAGAATATTTCTCTCATAGTTTCAATGCTAAGCTTGAACAGTCAGATCCACTGTTTTTTCAACAGACGGCTCCACCTGGCAGTGATCAGTGTATCTCAGGGGAAGCACAGTGAATTCCCCAACACTTCAGGAGCAAAGCATACCCTGGAGGATGCACCACACTCTACATAATTGCTATTGATTTGCAACAAGCTCTACACTGTGAACTGAACCTAGAATTCAATATTCATCCTCTACAATAGAAATATATATAAAAAAAGAAACCTCAAGTAACTCCCAGGGTGTACCACAGGCTTAACTCTGCAGCTCTTAGAGAAGCAGCTCAAAGAGTTCACCAACACAACTTGCATAAAGTGCTGTTCAGCAAAAAAAGACACGGCGGACTTGAATGTGACTTACTATCGATTTCAGCTGACCATCCAGAGCCACACTGACCACAACAGGAAGAACAAATTTCAAGGTTTTCATCAATGGGAACAGTGCTAGTACCATCAGACAAGGATGAAGTTTCAAAACACTGTAGAGCACAAGCTTCACTGAAGCACTACCATGCATATTTTTCTACATAATGCCACGCAGTACCATGTGCTGAAGACCAAGCAAGTAAAAGACACTTTCATACAGTTTACTAAGGCATAGCCAGTGAGGTTAATTCTGGGGTAAGAGATCGGGTCTGTGACATCTACATGCTGCACCAACAAATCACTCATACTCCATAGAACATGTCACAGACAGGAACTTGGTCACTGTAGTAGATCGTCTGTTTCCATACCATATAAAAGGCAAACCTAAAAAAAAACCAAGCTGTTGTATTTGTACTGGCCATTCAGGTTGATTCATATTTTACTTACCAGAATGCAAAAAGTAATTCCCCCATTGCTCACACTGATGATACACCTCACACTGTGCGATTTCATTTTCATGATGAGGAAATGCAAGATCTATTCCACCAGTATGGATGTCCAGCTGCTTTCCAAACACTGCACTGTAACAATATTTTCGTGATCAGTAAGTAGGACACTACAAAAGCTTTTTGTAAAAAGAAATGCAGAAAAGAATACAATGAAACAACATAAATTCAAGTGTACAGTTTAACGACTGCAGTTTTAAGGCAAGACTTCACACAAATCTTGTAATAAAGCTGCAGCAGGACCCCTATCTGGCCACAATTAATTCTTAGTAGGAGCAATTATTTTTCTAAAGGCAAGCCCCACATATGCATGCATGTGGGTGTACACAGAGAAACACACAGCCTTCCCATGTGTCACACTAACAAGTTGCTCCTCATAGCTGGCTAGATATTAATAGTTTTGTCCCTTTTCGGGACAAAACACCCTGGCTCACTATGGCTTTGCAGAAGTTGCTAGAGCACAGGAAGAAAACAAGGAGAGATGGTAAGAAAGACTAGCTGTTACCATTTCTCAAGCTTATGCTCCTCTGCTTCCTCCTGTCTGCTCCAAACCCAGCTTAAGCACAGATCCTCCCAGGAGGGGCTCCAGCTCACACCTTCCCTTGCACCATCTACAGAGGAGCACTGGCCACTTGCTCCAGTTTGCTCCAACAAAACCATCAAGAGCTGGGGAGAGATGGATCTGCAGAATGCTCAGGGGCAGGAGGGGCAAGCCCACCTCACCTCAAGGGAAGCTCTGGAGAGGAAATCAGACCCAAGTCACAGCAAGTGGTTACCTCCTGCAGGGCTGCACTAGAGACCCATACCTTCCCCATTCACCTTCCCAGGCACACTTCAAAGGCTTTTCAAAATTAGTTCACCTAGCTTAAAGTGCTTTGAGACTTTTGGCAAAACAGCCAGGTAAGCAGCTATTGCTTAAAATAGGTGCCTTCCAACCCTAACCACTCCATGATTCTATGTTTTTGTGTACTTCACTTGCTTTAAAGAACCATTTCACAGTGCTGAAACTATTTACAGACACAAAGTCACCCTTATAAGTGCTTTTCACAATCTAGTAGTAATGACTAAAAACCCCAGGCGACCAGCAAAGAATATGAAAGAGAAACCTACAGCATGTGTTCCATCTGCTTTCAGCCTGAGTTGAAAACTTTAGTTACACAGGGCCAGAGCTAAGTAATTTGTAATTAGCTTCCAAAAAAAGATCTGAGATTAATGCAGAACTAAGCACCACTAACAAGCTTCCAAGAGAGAAAATGTAAAGTCTCTTTTTTAAAAACACAAATGAATAGGTCATAAGTTAATACAATGTAGGACAAAGTACTACCACATATATGCTCCAAATTAAGAGCAAATTAATTTAAACCAACTACAACCAAAATGCTGCTACACTCAGTTCACATCATGCCCATAGAATTTACTTCCACACAGAAATGAGAATATTTAATACTGCAGCTGACTTCTAATAAAAGCCGAATAACACAAAACTGCAGTTAAGGCCAACAAGACCTTATGCACTCACTGGAGTCAGGACGGATTCCCATACCCTGTCCTTCTGACATAGCACCATGTGCTGAACTAGGTCCAGCAGAGACTGCAACAGGTGGAACAGAGCCAAATGAAAGAGGTACCATAACCTTCACTAAAACTTTGCTTACTCCATTCAAGTTAAAGACTTGCTAATCAACTGTGTGATCCTGCATGCCATATTTTAAGCACAGAATCTCTCTCAAGAAAAGATGCTAAAACCCAGCAAGACAGCTATGCCACTTAAGGTGGAGCAGTTTGAGGCACAATTGCACAAAATATTCATATCAAAACTGGTGTTCTACTGATCAGAAAAATCACTTTCAATACTGCTGCTACCACTGTACTGCAATCAAAATCAAAAACCAGCACTAGATTTAAAAGCCAAGAATCTGACCTTGATATTGTGGAACACTCTATGTGCCATCCAGGTCTTCCTTTTCCCCAGGGAGAAGTCCAACATAGCTCTTGAGGTTTAGCAGCCTTCCACAGGGCAAAATCTCTACCATGTCGCTTATCAGTATTAACTGCCAAGAATAAGTGAAATGTTAATGAGATATGTCAAGAAAAAAAAAAAAAAAGGCAAGCAAGTGGGAATGTATTTAGTGAATTACTCAGATTTTAACCTCTTTTGCTCAACTTCTTTTCCTGCAACTTTCCTCCCTTACACCGGGCTTCCATTTTCTCAATCATTTGAAAAAAAATATAGTATGCTGAATTAAGATGGTTCAAGATTCTTCAGTCATCCTCTCTTTTAGTCGTTTTGGACTTCTCCAGTTTTACATCAGTCATTGAGTCATTTAGCAGCCAGTTTCCCAGGACAAACAGATTGTACTGCAACAGGAAAGGTAATAAAGCAACCTAAACTAGAACAGGGTTCTGAACTCTGCACTTTTTTTTTCTGACAAATACTTGATCTCACATTTGACTGGTACAGAACAGTACATCAATTTGGCTTGAACGGATCCAGCTTGGCAAGCAACTTGCACTGTTTTAAGTTCCCTTATTTAACACCTCTCATCTGATTTGTCAGCAGTTGACACTAGATTTACTACTTTATTTATTTCAGACGTCTAGCAAACTCACAGTGTATCACTGGGTCTGAGCTAATCCCTGGAGCATTCCAGTATCAACACATTTTAATGATGATTCACAGCTATTTTTGGAGAACTATTAGATGGTCATTTTTCTTGAGCCATTCCGCTTCTACTTTACTGATATTACAGAGAGTCAGTTTTTATTCAGAATGTCATGCAATATTAAGTGAAGCACATTACAAAAATCCATTACACCTGCTTCATCATTCAAAATTGATAAGAAATAAAGGGACAGAAATATAACCCTGGTTTTATCCACTGAATCTTCATCTTGGCTCTTCCACCAGTTTGCCTCTGGCTGACCAGCATCTGCTGGCTCCTTTCCTCTTTTACCTTGAGTATATTGCCTCAAAAAAACCTACTTTTCTTGGTTATAAGCAAAACAACAGTTAAAATATTTAGAAATACCAGTAAATTTAGTTGTAAGTCACTTGAGAGGAAACAGGGTAAAACAGGTAATCAGTCACAACTGAAGCTGGAAGGCACATCTGGAGATTGTCTAGTCCAACCACTGGCTCAGAGGAGGCTCAGCTACAGCAGGCTGCTCAAAACTGTGTCCAGTTGGGTTTTTAGTATCTCCAAAGATGGAGACTCCACAGCCTCTCCAGGAAACATGTTCTTCTGTTAATCATCCTCAGAGTAACAAAGGTTTTTCTAAGCTTTAAATGCAGTTTCCTGTGTTTCAGGTTGTACCCATTGCCTCTTGCCCTGCCATCAAGCACCACTTGAGAGAAGACTGGCTCCATCTTCTTTATTCTCCCCATCACATGTTTGTACACACAGGTAAGATGCCCTTGAGCCTTCTCTTCTCCAAGCTGAGCAGTCCCAACCTTTTCAGCCTTTCCTCATATGAAAATGCTCCAGTACCTCCACTTCATTCGCAGCCATTTGCTGGGCTCTCTCTAGTATGTCCATGTCTGTCTCCTAGTGGGGAGCCCAGCATCACACCCAGATTCCAGGCACATCTCACCAGTGCTGAGCAGAGAAGAAGGATCACCTCCTTTGACCTGCTGGCAGTGTTTTTCCCAGCACAGTCCCGGAAGCTGTTGGCTGCCTTTGCAGTCAGTAACTGCCTCTGAATAACCGCTGACAAAATGTATTCCCTCTGTGAGCTGTAATGCTGAAACAACTCCAGAGTGGGGCTGTGAGAAGTTTCTGGCTGCAATTCACCTGAGCATCAGCCTGCCAGGCATTTTCAGTAACTGCAAATGGATTTTTTCAATGAAGAAATATTGAACTTCAACATGCAGAACAATGCATGAGACCTGCATCAAATTTTCAGGTCAGAGACCTGATCAGACCTAACTTTGGGAAACTACCAAGAGGATCAGCAATCCTGCTCAGCAGCCAGACAACTGCAGAAAAAAAAACAAACCACAAAACTAGGGTATAGGCAACAGATTGCTCACCCTCACACAAATAGGCTGCTTAGAATTAGTCTGGTAATGTAAGTATGGTAAGTAACAAATGAAGCACATTCATCCAGTTATCATGAATCAAAGGAGTACAACTGCCCAAACAGTAACACACCAGATGAAGTTTCCCTGCATTTACCCTTGAGTATCTCACTGCTGGTTTGTGCAACAGCTGAGACCATCACATCACTATGAAATTTATATGTACCACTCCCAAGTATTAAATAATTGATTAAGAATCCTAATTGTTCTAAGGTACCAGAACAAAGGTACAGAGGGAGCCAAGCATAAAATAAGACCAAGTTTCCTCCTGCACTGCCAACAGTGAGTGCCTCAATAAATAATTATGAAAACAATGTAGTCCTAATTAACCAAAAAGTGGGATATACACAACAGGTTAGAAAACTGTTCCAGAATGAAAGTTTACACATAGATACATTACAAGTTCAAACGATACATTAATACAAACAAGTTGGTGCCAAGAACTTACCTGCTTCATCTTGGATATCAGAAGAAATAGTAGTTAATACTCCATATCTTTTTCCCCAAGACTTAACATCAAAATAAACATTGCCTAACAGAAAAGAAATGCTTAGTGAGATAGCAAAGATGTGGCACAATCATGAGGAAGACAGAACACTTCCCTGAAAGCAAAACAAAACGACCTTCAACTTCCATTTTATTCCAATTTAGAAATTCAGAAATAGTAGCAGATGTTTCCACATTACCAGCTTTTCAGTAACCTCACTGTATGTGCTCATTCTGCATATAGGATAACTCTGTATTCTGCACATCTCCCCAGGTTCTTCCCCTGCCCATACACAATCAGCAATCGCCTCCCTGACTGCAGTGCAGCCTACTGCTACTCCAGTTACAACGCACTCAAATCTTTTACAACCACCAATTCTACCAGTAAAAATAAAATCAAATCCACGTATCGTGCTTTGCAGGCACATTTTTTACAGCACACAGGTGATAATCTCCTCACGTTTAGAGCTAAGAGGCTCCCCCCAGCTCTCTTGTAGGAACCAGGCCAGGACTTCCCCAAAGAGGCTTAGACAGCACTTCATTAGAGTGAACAGTTATATTAACTGTTAAGCTACATTTAACTTAGAAATTGAGTAACAGTTGTTCTGCCCACTCATCTCATCACAAACAGGTTGCTCACACCCAGTCTGCTAATCAACAGCAGGAAAGCCTGGCACAAGGTATCTCATATGATCCCAAACCGGGATTACTAGGAGCACTGATTTCCTGGACATGTACTGAACAAGGAGTTGCCTTGCTATAAGTCTTACCTTGTGAGGTTGCATAGGCTTGGCCATTAGCAATTACTGTTTCTATAAAGGAAATTATCTGAGGAATATTTTCAGTCACTCTCATATACACTGTAGGAGGAAGGACCTTAAAGAAAAACACCTCATTAGCCTGTATGAAACATACTGCCAACAAACTCCCCCCCTCTAGGAAACAAATTTTAAAGAACGCTCTCCTCAATTTTATCTTTTTTTTTTTTTTTAAAGAAAAAAAAAAAAAGCAAGTATAACTGAAATGGCACAAGCAGCCTTTAAGATAATACCCAGAAGGAAAAAAAGAAAATGGTAGAAAATTTTTCTCAGTGCCTTGCTCCCTGCTTCTGACAAACAGTTTGGACAAGGAGCAAAGTCACCCTAAGTCAATGAAAGAATATTACATGTTTCCTATACTTATATCAGGCTATTTCTGCATTATAGTAGATATGTATTATCTGTGAACCAAGACTAATTGCATGGATAAAAACCCCAATTGTGTTGCTAAAGAAATTTAATTGTTTCATTCCAAAGGTAGGGTTTGTTTCTCCCCATTTCCTTACTCAAAAGGTGTGCAGTATCTTTCCAGAAGAATGAAAAAGTAAATTGGTACTCCCAAATCCCAAGTTTCCAAGCAACACTTCATCAAACAAGCAAACAAATTTCTTTTTTCAAATCAAACTGCCAAAATCAGATTCCTTACCAAAAGAACTGCTTTAAAATGCTCTAAAATTTAGAGGCTTGAGTATCTGTACCTTTAAGGCAGCCATATCTTGTTTGAAGTCTTCTTCATAAATACGAGCAAGAGCTACTGGTGACATATTCATCTGAAAGAGAGAGGCTGATCAGTAAATCATAAATCAAAGCAATAATATAAAATACTGCAATCTTTTATTAGACAGAATTATAAAATTGGAAGACCTACAGAACCCCCAAGACAAAGAGTCAGGAATGCTTGTTACTCTTAACATCCATGGGGAGGAGATGCAAGTTATATGTAGCAAAAATAGTACTTTATTTACACTTCTGAATTCCAAAATATTAATATGTATCTTTTAGGAGACAGCAACCAATGACTAAAATAATAAACTCCTTCCCTCTCCCATTAGTTTCTTCTTGAGATGGTTTCTATTTCCAGTGACAAGGCATACTACTGTACACAGGACGGGAAATTCATTAAACTTATTAGCAGGGGACACTGATACCACCTACATGTCATAGAGACAGATCAGAGACTTGCAGGATGAGACAAGACATTAATTTTCAGTGATTAAGAAAAATAAGCTATTTCAGCTGATCATGGTTACTCATAGATCTCAGTACAATCAGGGGAAATAAACCAAAAGTCAGTCCCACACTTTGCTAAGTGTGGCACTTCTCTAACACCTTCTCCACATTCCTCAATCACAAGGCAATGGACAAGAACAGGAATCCTAGCACATGCAACAAGAACACGCAACCTGAAAGGAAAGAGACAACTTACACATGACAAGATACTTATTCTCAGATATTCAGAAGAGGCCAGGGCTTGAAAGATCTACAACAGCAAAACCTACCCTAGTGAACAAAAGGATGGTATCAAAGTGTTTCAAATGTGAGCTTTTACATTTTCTCTGATGAGAACCTACTGCGCAAAAAACAACGTACTGTCAGTCTCTCTAGCTTGCAGATAATTGAATCATTAACAAAATAAATTCAGTTTCACCACTTCTAATTACTGAAGCAGCTTTAAGGGGTCTGAGTTTTGAAGCACAGGTGGGTACCACTACTGGGACAAGTTCCTGCACAAGGCAAGACACAGACAAACCAGATGTTCAATCAGCAGTGAAACCAGGAAGATGGTCAGCACTGAGAAACAAAGGTCTGCTTCTGCCTACAGACCAGGAGTGCTCCCTCAAACCCCAGCAACAAGACTCATCTGCCTAGATGCTCAGCTGCTTCTTTGATCAACAGAAGACAAGAGACAAAGATGCCTGCAGGAGGAAGATGGGGAAACTCCTCCCCTACAGATGGATGTTCAAGACAGAGACTCATCTGTCTCTCTCAAAGGATTACCATGTGCAGCACGCTCATCACAGATTAGATGTTGAACTTGCAGGTTTTCTCTACATGAATCCTATCAGAGGATGGAGAACAAGTTCAGACATGTTGATCCTGCCACTATAATGACTCAGGTACAGAGGTCCCAACAACAAAGTCAGGATACTGAGGCAGAGGCCTTGGCCATCCAAACACTGTGCAGAGCAGAACAGGCATTCAAAAAAAAAAAAAAAAAAAAAAAATCACAAAAAAAGCATGAAAAAGATTATTTCATGCAACCAAAGAATGCAGTAAATGAACACAAATTCTTTTAAAACATCAAATTATTTCTTCCTCCTAAAACACAAAATTCCCCCTAACGTTCTGACAACAGAAAAAAAAAAAAAAATCTTAAAATGCACACATATAGATTTAAAACACCTGGGGGGTTTTGGTGTAGGACTTTTTGGTTTAGTTGGGTTGGGTTTTTTGTTGAGGTTTTTGAGAGGATGGGCCTTCTCTCTTTTTACTAAACTGTCTTAGAAAACTGCAAGTAAATGGACTAAGGGAACACACTTGTATTTCTACAGAAGCAGTGAGCCAGTATTCATTTCAATGCAGCACCGTATATTTAACTGCAGTAGTAACTGTTTACTTAAAGATTAAATAAAAGTGACAGCTGTCAAAGTCTCTGGCTCCAAGAAAAGCTTGCAACTGCAATCTGATCTAACACACTCATTTATAATCCACAGACATGAGTTACAGATTCTTAAAACAAACAAAATCAAAACGCAGAATAGAACGGAGAATACATTCTTCAGTGTTTCAGGATCCAGAAAACATTTTAAAAGGAAAAAAAAAACAAAACTGGAGTAATCATTCACCAAGATCAGCTGCTGGAAAAGGTCTGATTAAAATCCAACTGAGAATCACTTATAGCCCAGGTCTTATCAAGACTTACTCCTATAATCAATGGCACCTTCCATGTAGATGACGAATTCTGACAAGACTGATAAAGCTTTCCAAGGTGTTGATATTGCAGCTAGATGGTGCTCAGCACCTTTTGGGAACCACCCTCAGCCCTGTGTGTGGCAATGCTGCCTTTAATGATAATAACACAACACTTCTTCAGAACTCAGCCCGCAGGCTCCTGGCTGCTAAGTTTTTGGTTGCTTTTGGGAAAAGGTACTTTTCACTCTTTTGAGCATTCACCCCAGCTTTTTGTTCCCCAGTGGCCTCCTAGGCAGAGGGCAAGGGCAGGAGGACCCTGGCCATGGGTGCTGTAACATAGTTCTCCCACCTCTTTCTGCCACAGAACTCTGCACCCATTTACCCCCAACACTCGGCCCTCCAGACTCCCAGCCCCATTACAGCCATGCGAGGGGACCAGAAATCTCAACATTTATCATCTACTAATTAAAATAAGCAACACTCATCAAAAAAAAACCAAACAAACTCAGGTTGATTTTCCTACAGAAGTAGCTGTAGAAAATATCAAAAGTTTGGGTCAAAACTGCAGCAAACACCTACCTCATTGGCTCTTTTTATTATCTTGTCATCTATGTCCGTGATCCCCATCACCATGATAACTTCAATTCCAAAAAACTTAGTCATTATCCTTCGAATTATATCAAACCTAACATAGGAGCTAGAAGAGAGAAGAAAAAAAAACAACAACAAAACCATGAGCTTTTAAACATGCACTATTAAGAAAAAACTTAAACAAAAATATTCAACAGCACTAACAGCCACGGGGACAATCGAAATACCCCAATACCTGGATGAATGAAAAGGTGTTCAGTGCATAAAGTGCTTTTCCAAAACTAGTTACCACCAACACAAAAGTCAAGCAAATTTCCCTTGAACTGGCCTACCCTCTTCTGGCATTAGTGACACATTACATCAAATTTTCTGAGGGTTTTATTTTGTTGCACATCTTCATTCAAGTGCTGAAGTGCACTGGAAGGTATACATGAACCACGAGGCTCTCTCAAAGCAGCAGTATGAAATAAGACACACAGATCAGATATTCCTGAAACATATCCCTCAGGGTTTGTATATTCTTAACAGGTTTTCAAAAGCCACAGGGCATAAGAACAGGGAGAAATAAGGTGCAAATGAACTTTGCTTAGGGTTGAGTAACAACTACAGCTGCCAGCCACCAATAAACTATTTCATTCACACACCACCACAGATCTTTCCTGATAGCAAAGAAGAGTTGTGCTGTGGGTTATTTTGCTTTGTTTACACCTGAGAATAAATCCTCGAAATTATGCAAGCTCTTTGCCACAAACCAGAAGATTCAATGCTGATAGATTGATGTACCTACCACTGCACAGGGCTGTGGAAGCCCCTTGTTCTACTCAGACTCTCCACTTATAATTCTCAAAACATACTTTGACTGAATAAAACCCAATTATCAGGGGAGATATCAGATAGTGATTAGAGTCTCTCTGTCTGCCCTGTAGAGTGATGAGAATTCTCAGCCTTCACTTGCTTTGGAGAAAACAAGAGCCCGAAAGGAGACTCACAGACCTACAGGTTCCTATTTCACTCACAGCATTACACAAACTTCAAATCAAATGGCTGTGAGAGCAAAGAAGTGCAAGTAAATACTGGAAATGGATTTACATCCTTCCCCCTAGCTGCAGGGACCAGGTGGCACTAAGGTTCGCATTTATGGATGTGCAGTATCTTGATGTTTGATGAAGAAAAACACTTTCTGTTGTTGTCTGCACTATGCCCATGTTGAAAACAGCTTTTTGAAAGCCATGCTGCCAGGGAGAGTTTTTACTGAACACCAGCTCTCTGGGAGTAAGGTTCACCTAATGTGGCAACATGATTCCACAAGAGCATTAGATCAGTCTTTGGACCCTGTTCAGAGGAATGACACCAGCATCAAAAGCTTGTTATTAAACAGCCTTGCAGTCGTAGTTGCCAGAGCTGACACAAATTTTGCATGGCTTCCTCCCCTCTGACCTTCCAAACGAATTTATAGAAGCAGCAGCATTGCAAAAGTCAGAGCAGAAAGTAGGGTTCTTACCACTTCAGGACTGAAAAGGAAAAAAACCTGAGAGTCAGAATCAGTGGGATGGCAGAGCAGGCACAAGTGTCTGAATGAAATCTTTTCTCATGCTTGGTTTTACTCTTATTTCCAAGCATTTAGCCAGGAGTCTGGATGCCAACCAGACTGCAGCTCACGCCAGCAAGATCAAGCCCAGTCTCAGAACTGAGGGAAAAGATGGCATTATCTGCCTGTCTGATTCTTTTCTTGATACAGAATGAGTTTTGGATCACAGAATCCTAAGGGTTGGAAGGGACTTCAAAAGATCATCTAGTCCAACCCTCTTGCAAGAGCAGGATGTTGCACTGAGGCACCTGTTTTGAAAGCTAGAAGTACAGCATCCTAGAGAAAGTTGGATTAGTTAGAGAAATAAGAAATCCTTGTGGAGGGGAAGGAGGAAGGGGGGAAGTAACAACACCATTATTTTCAAATTCTTCTCAAGGATCTCAAGCTCATTTCCATTATGCTGTGTTTGCAGCAAGTCAAATGCAAGCAGGAGGGGTAAAAAGGGATTCTAATGATAACATGTTGCAAGAGTACAACAAAATGATATTTTACAAGAGCAGCACAACAGCAACAACCATTAACTCTATTTGACTTCATGCTCTTTCCCAGTGCATCTCCTGGCCTGTAGGCTTGCATCAGCAGGATGCGTTTCAGCTATGCTTACCAGAGTTCTACAGCTGGACATAGCTACTGGGGAAAAAATACACAATTATTGCTAAAAACACATATAAAATCAAGAGTGCTCCACCATCTTTATCAAATGAGCCAAGCAGCAGGATGTCACCACTGATGTGTGCAAGACCACAGACACTGGTAAGGAAGAGCCAACTCCTCACACACTGGAGAGCTTAACTGATGAGGAGAAAGGTCTGCAGTGCAGGTATCTTGATGCGCAGCAGCACTACAGGAAACAATACATGAAGGTGAGGATGAGGTAGGAGAAAGAGTATACCACTGTTATTTATCTGCATGATACACCCCTCCAGAGGCAAGATTCAGCCGTAAATATTCTGTCTTAAACCAGTAAGTGAAACGGTCAAACCCAGATGACACAGATGTAGGGCAAACCTCACATTAGGAAAATTTGAAATTCACAGCTTAGAAAGAGGGTAAGAGGAGATGGATGAGAAGAACAGGCAAAGCAAGCCTTTAATCAAAAGAGCCAGAAGGTAGGAGAACAAGAACTACTGACAAAACCAGACATTTAAAAGCCAGAGAGCTGCAAGACGAAAAGGTGAAGTTCTCCAGTTCTACAAACATTGTGCTGTAGATCCACCATACCACTTCGGACAGGAAGACTTCTACAATTCCCTCTCTTGTTACACAACATCAGGTTGGGCCCTACCATACTACAGAACCTCAATTAAGTGATGAAGCAATTTATTAGCATCTTTTTATACAGTTGCTCTCAAGTGATTATTTTTTAATGGAAATATTTCAAGGTAAATTGTAACATAGGCTATATTACACTGTATTACAGCAACTGTAGATTTAAATGCAAATTGCTATGACTTTTTTAAAAAAAAAAAGTTTTTTTTAAAGTTTTTTTTTTAAAAAAAACTTCAAAAAAAAAAAAGTTCCCCTAAAGGTACTAAGTACAAATGGAATAATTCAAGATATCATTTTCTGATTCTTATATCACTGGTAAAATATCAGATTAGTTCTCTGCTAAGACTGGACAAAAGCAAGGAGGAAAAAGATATCACCACATAAACACACAACAGTACAGCAGCATTTAAGGTGAGGTTGCCAACTGTATTTTCTTATGTTTAGTATTTTGAAACTCCCCTTTTACAGAAAGGGGCAGCAGTTGTGCAGTACTGCAATGGCTCAACATTCAGCAAAATTCAACACAAGTTTCTGAATGAAGCCAAGTCAGGACCAGAAGCTGTGGGATCCCCTGCGTTAAAATGGAATTACTCAAATACACAGCACCTGATCTTCACACAGATGACAGTTATCTGAGAAACCCCTGCTCCTCTGAGAAGCCAAATGCATCTTGCTCTTCTAAGAATTAGGGGACAGAAGCTTAGGAGCAGCTGCAACTCCCCTTGACTTCATAGGAAGCAGCAGGCAGCCTGCTGCATGTCTTCTCATCAGGTGCATCAGTGTAAAACAACCTGCCCTGGTGTATTTAAAGTACTTTTTTGAAGTTACTTATAATGAAGCTAGTTTAGTATTGTAATTATCCTATGAAAAAAAATACTGTGCTGTTCGGTTTGTTTTTTTTTTAAACACAGTAAGCCACTGAACTATTACTATGCAAAAAGGCCTTTCTGAGCTTTAAGAACACTTTCCAGGGAAGTGTTCCAAGGAACATCCAGGAAAGTCATCCAAGGATGGACACTTGTAAGATTCAGCTGGATGGGGTGCTGGGACATCTAGTCTAGGTAATGCTTTTCCTAGAAAGCATCTTGGACCAGATGATCCCTGAGGTCCCTTCCAACTTGGTATTCTGTGCTTCTATGACTGAACAGATGTGTTTATCTGTAAACACCTGAAAGAATTGTCAACCCTGAACAGTTTTTCCTTGGTGCCAACACCTTGTCTGAACTAAATCTGAGGCAAAACTGTAATTTCACAGAGAAGAGGCTCCAGGACCCCAGCTCCTCTGCACAAGAGCTTATAAAATTTGCAACAACTCACCCTGCCTAGCAAAAAATGCATGTTCTTAATACCTTCCACCCTACTACTGCATCTCTGCCTGGGATGACCTGCACCAACAGCGCTTTCCGTACTTCCTGAGGTCGAGAGGGGGAAACCCAAACACACAAACAAGAAAACAAACAGTATTTTGTTTGCCCTTTATGCAGACCAAGAGGCAAAGGGCCGGCAGCTCCCAGCGGGGTCTGATCCTGGCACCCGGACACAGGCTGCTCAGTACCGAGTCAGGCCTGGCGGTACCGGCACTCCAGCTACTGGGCTCCCTCCCCCAGTGTGCCCGCACAGGACGGGACCCCACTTTCCGCCGTGACTCAGGAGTCGACTCACCAGGCGTGCCCGAGGTGTGCATGGTCGTACACGGTCGGCCCGCAGCTGTACCTGCGCAGAGGGGAAGCAAACCGCACCGTCATCTCTGCCCGGCACCCAAGTAACCCCCGCCCGCCTGCCGCAAGGCGCTACCAGGTCGCCACTCGGTCCTTGGCCAGTACGAGCGGTTCCTTGGTCCGGCTGCGGCTGTTGTAAGCCACGATCCCGCTGTCCCGCCCCACCGGCGGCACCCACTCCCGCCGCCGCGCTGCGCTGCAACACAGTCGCGCTGCCACCTTTCCCCCGCCGGGGCCGGGCCCGAGGCCGCAGCGCCGGGCCACAGCCGCTGCTGCTCCACTCAGCATGGGCATGGCCATGGCCATGGCCATAGCCATAGCCATAGCCACAGCCCCCGGCCGCGGGCGGGGAACCGGCGGCTCCGCCTCTCAGCGGGGAGGGCGCTGAGGGGACCGGGCACAACCCGCCGCGCCTGTCACCTCGACACCCTGCACCGCTCGTGCCGGGAAACAACAGGCGAGCGGGGTAGCTACAGCCGGCGCGGCAGGAAGAGGAGGGGCAAGCGGGCAGAGGCGCGGCACGGTCCCAACGGGTGGCTCAGCCGGCTCTCGCCGGGCCGCAGGGTCACTTCTGCCCCCGCTGCTGGCCCGGCCCGGGCAGAGGGTGTTACTGGAGCGGCCCCGGGGTGAGTGCGGGGCCTGGGGCTGGCTGTGCCCGGCTTCAGTTCGGCCGGAGCAGTGCGTGCCCAGTTCCGTGCCTCAGCGTAACCGCGCTAGAACCCGAGTTCTTCTTAACGAGGTTTTAGTGGGGGTGTTTGTAGGGAAGAGGTGATAGTTTAGCAAAACGATACCTGCTGTGTCAAGTCAGTTCGGTCAGACGGGGAGTGAATCTATTTCACACTGCCTTTCAGATCAGAGAACAGCAGGCAGCCCGTCAGCTCCTGCAAGAAAAACGTGGTGAGACATTCCCAAGCTGGACTTAATAGTTTTGCACCTTTCTTACTCCCATGTACCCGTGTAAAGTCCTACCTACCCTGGTCACATCATTACAAAAATGACATGAACTGGTGCTAGATACTCACTGAGGTTCCTTGGGCTTCAACTAGCTGATGGTCTAGGTCAGCTTCCTTTCCAGTGGCAGGATAAGCAGAGTGTGTGCTTTCTGATGAGGCTTCTGTCTTCTTATTGTGGAACTTTTTTCTTTCTTTCTTTCAGAGCATAGCAAGGAAACGGAACTTGACTGGCTGCACTGCCTTGATCCGCTTTGGAAATTATGAGCTACTTGACTAGTGAGTAACAGTGTAATGGAACAGACATAAAGGTGTCAGAAGGCCTTTTTAACTAGCGTCTTGTTTCCAAAAGTAACCATGAGTGGGTACCAAGGAAACAAGGGAGAACTCCACAGGCATATATAATATTTTCCTGGATATTCTCCCATCTTACAACCAGATGACATCCTCAGCTGAATGCTTTGGGGTTGGTGTCCCCCTGTCTTTTTACCCTCTATTGGTAGATTGCTCTACCATTAGTTTCCCTGACCTCTGTGACTTTACATCAGCTCCTGCCTTTGGCACCAAGTACTACAGTCTACCACCATTTTTAGGAAGCATCTTCCTGGCACATGTTGAAGTTGCGGCCTGGTAGCTCCAGCAGCAGCCACCCTTGATCTTGTATGAAAGTAGACAGTGACCATCAGTTCCAGCACTTACTGTCTGCCTCCACATGAGCCTCGAAGGAGGCTGCTCAGAGCAGAGCCTTTCCCAGCCTCCCAGACCACTGTTTACTTGCCTGCAAAAGCATCTTGCTGATCACTTGGGAGGAAGGTAATGCTGGGTGGTGGCAGCTTGTTGTGAGTGGATGCTGCAGGGAACAGGTCTGCCTGTGGTGACATGCCTCAGAGAAGTCCTTGTATTGCTTCCTCTTCTATCTGCCAGGGACAGGTTTGATAGCTTTTTCTTATGTGTAATATGAACATCTAAAAGGATTGCTTGTACCTAATAATAGGTGTCCATCTGCATCTTAGTATATTTTAGTAAGTATCAGGTATAAAGCCCTACCAGTGATAAATGTTTCCTTCTTAATACGCACTTTCTACAGTATTTTTCATTTAATGATCTTAACTTTCTGACTGAACTTATCTTACGGGCTTGCTAATTTGAGACTAGCTAGGATGAAACTGAAGATATTCAATAACCTTTGTAAATGTTTGCTTCATGTGTTTCTCAGGAAGCTTCACAAGCCAATTATTTCAGTTTCCATAGTGAGCTGGGTTTGATGTCTTTGTCGTTCAACATGCATCCTGTTAGGAGTTGTCATTAACTCCGTTGTCTTCTTTGTTCTGCATGGTGCCAAGCACTTTGACAGAGCCCAAATCAAAACGAAGTATCCATGGATGGCTTTTAGCCTTAATTCCAGGTTTAGCTGGCATGGATGAAACTGCCAACAGATCAAAAGAATGCAGGAGCTTTTTATTTCCCTCGTGGTTTCAGAAGGCTTTAGTGTCTATGTTATCCAGACTGGCTCTTAGCACTTAGTCTAGAAACCTCTATGTCCTGCTATAAAACATTATTTTCTGAGGCTAGGAAAAGCTACAATTACTAAATGTCCAAAATAAATAGTTAACATTGTTCATGCTTGAGATTTGTTTTAATGCAATAGAACAAATTCTGTGGAACAGCGGAAAATATACCACAAGCATTGAAGTACCAAAATAATACAATTCCAGATGAAAAGCAATACTAATCCTGATGGATTGGAACCATAAATTACATATTTGGAGAACATTCTTGGAAACAATCAGTCTATGGCTGTAAGTACAGCTCTGCTTCTACCACCTACAACTACCTCCCCCTCCCCTATACCCTTATTCCTGGCCTGGAACATGTGAAATGAGACGATACTACTCCACCAGAGAGGCAGAATAGCAGCAAAGGATCTTCTGCCTCCATCAGGAGATTCATCTTTGCTTCTACCTGAAGCAGATGCCTATAGAAGTTGTTAGCAGTTGAAACCAGGGTACATCCAACCAATGCCAGACCTGAACCTGCTGCACTCCTGTGACTTGTGTGTTTTGTGCCATATAGCTAGCAGGAGATGCTGTCTGCAGGGTGGTACATCCGTTAGACACCCATCTGGGAATATGACTGAGCTTCAGGTAAACTGCTGTTTCAAGGAGACACCCATGTATTTAATATTGTCAGGTCATATTCCCATGTTTTTCTTAGGAGCCACTTAGGCTAAAACTTGTCTTTTTTACATCTGAAGCTCTAACATAAAGGGGTGACTCCTGCATGCCTTTAGAACAGGTTTATGTGTTTTCCATCCCTGTATCTGCATGTGCAAGACAACTACATTTCCTCTCCAGCCTTCATCTACAGGGAAAACCTAGTGAAAGCACAGCTCTGTGTGCTCTTCCCTGACTGCTCTGCAACACCTCTGTGGTAGGCAGAGAGAGTATCTCTGGGGGGTTCTGGCTCACCTGGCTCCTCCTGTACTTCCCAGTTTCCAGTCCCAAGACTACCTACAAGCCTTGTCCCCAGAAGTAAGATGAGTGGGTGTATCCCAGAGCATGTTTTATATCATAAGTAAATATAATCTAAAATTTCTTTTTTCCTTTCTGTTTATTATTACGAGACACATGCTCTGTAAGGTTTCACAGTTGTCCCCCCTACTGCTACAGGTACAGCATTTTTCTTTTAAAACATTAAACCACACTCTCTTAGAACTGTTGACAGAGAATGGCTGTGTTTGTGTGTTATCAAAAATATGTTTCCAGTATCTGTGACCTTTCTTGTCAGATTCTAGTTCAGGAACCTGGCAAGGAAACTTGAGACAAAGGGAGAAGGTTGTAAAGAAAAACTACAAACCAAAAGCAAAGATGAGCTAAATCCACTGCAGTGGACTGAATTTCTCTTGTAACTCTGTAGTAGTTTGTAATAAGACACATGTCAACTCACCTTTTATAGTAATTTTATTTTTACAGAACCTAGGTGTTTATCGGTTTAAGAATCTCAGGTTTTTTTATAAGAGAATAAAAATTCTCAAGGTTATTACAAATGTTTGACTCATAAATAAGTGTTGAGTGGCCTTTCCCCCAATTATTCATGACATAAAGAGTATGTTTTATAAAAGAGAAATCATCTTGAGATACCTATTCTAAAAGAGTGATTCTGGGGAAATGAAATAAAACTGTAAAAGAAATTTCATTGGTGGACATAAAGAACAAAATAAACATTCCTCCTCTTACAAAAGCTTGGTAGGCTGAACCTAAAGGTATTCACATTACCTGCTATTGTTTAGACAACCTACCTGTCAACTGCTCTGACAGATGCTGCCTGGTTTTCATCAGAAGCAAGTGGGTCCCAGGCCACAGTCTGCATAAAGAAACCTGAGGGCTGGTAGGAATTCAGTCAAGGGTCAGACTGGGTGTCTGTCAGTGGTTCCAGCTGTTGAGATGTATCTCTCTTGAACTTGCTACAGGAATATGGAGCCCATGGAATAAGCTCCCCTTGATCTGGGTTGGCTCCATAGTGGGACAGCTCAGAGGTACTTCTGCATTGGCCTTGTACTGCAATGGATGTTTACTAGTTCCAGACAGAATCTTCCTGCTCACCTTTAATGCCAGTGCTCTTTAAGCTCACTAGGTGCAGCATATACAAGGAATAGATGGCAGCAGCCAGGAAACGCATGTGAAAAAAGGCAGTGGGTGAAACAGTCTCAGAGCAGGCAAAGGAAGAGATGAGGAGCTGTACCCAGTGAAATACCTGTTTTCTTAAGTAGGACTTCACTTAAAGGAAAAAAAAAAAGACAAAGTTTGGAATGTCAGGCCTATGTCAGGTTAAGTGTTTGGGAAGTTCTTGAGCCTTTACTGGGAAGCAGGAAAATGACCAACTCAGATAAATTGTTTTACAGATTTTATAACCCATTAATCTCACATCATTTGCTGATATGAACATGTATTCCTGGCCCAAATACTGGTAAATGGTATACACTGCCCACTGCACTGACAATGCATATCACATGAAAGCATAAGCTATGGCTTGGCTGCTTGTGTTCACACTTGCAAATCTCAGCTCTGCTCATCCTGCATGTTTTGTTTCAAAACCTTCAACCATAAGCAAAAAGAACAGATTTGTAAAATTCCATTATCATCACCCAGGTAAGTATTAATTCAGCTTCATAAAGAATAAACAAACAAAAAAACAAACAAAACCCCCCAAAACAAATGCAAAGTAGAAGAGAAGGATTAAGCTATTAAATAGTGTGGAAACAGCAATTCATTAGAAGGAATAACTGATCTGATTCATCTGTACCTATTGAGTATAATCACTAATGATCAGAACACACAGACTTTCTTAATAAACAGAGACACAGCTGTAGTAGATTATGTAGTATTTCATGTAGCAATATTCAACTAAAGCAGAGAAAGAAGGCAGCCAGAATTCCTTGTATCAGCAGTGTCTGCATTTGTAGAACAGGTTTGGAGGTTTGGGATTTTATGTTCCTCATATTAAGAATCCTGATACTTATGCTGATGAGCCATAACAACCATATTTACTAGAACATTTATATATGAAGTATATTATATAACATCATATATATATATATATATATATATACACACACACGTGCACAGTATGTACGTTACACAGTAGCTGTGAGAGTTGTTGATCTGGTTATATGTTCCCTTGATTCCCATTACTGTGAGTTTAGATCTTTAGTAAGGTAACAGCTTCAAGCTTCTTTTGAAAACCCCAGAGATTTGGGATTCTTGTAATTGCAGCAAAGGGATTTGTGAGCAGGAAGAGGGAAGTTAGATACTCTATCTGCCCATGAAGTACAGAAAATGGGAAGAAAACTAAGCCCACAGATGTCTTCCTTCTTCAATGCATAACAATCATTCCTTACATTTCTACCTGTGAATGCTCCACCACAGTAAGAAATAGGCCCCTAATCTGAAAAGAGAACTGAAACACCATTCAAAATCTCCCATCTCTCACATTTTGGAGTTTGGAGGCAAGAGGCCAAAATAAAAAACAAACAGAGGAGGAGAAGCAGAGATGGGCAATGGGGCATCAGCTCCACATTCTCCAAAACTTTCCAACCTGGAGATGTACACATATACCCAATTTCCACACACTAAAAGTACAGCTGACATGCTGCTGAGCCTAGAGGGATGTGCAGAGAACAGGTATTTCTGGGTACTGGTGTACTTGATTACGGCACTGGACAAAACACTTGAACTGTGAAAGGGGACCTTAAAAGTGTACACTAAATGCATTCTCAGGTGAGCTCAGTCCTATCCCTTCCCTAGGACTTGTGCAAAGCCCAATGATGTTTTAATTCTGTCACTCTGCAGGCAACATATGAGAGGCTAATAGAGGAAGATGCAGTAGACAGCACTTCTAAGAGGCAGATGATATCAAGGTCTCTATCCTCAGTGCATCCAAGCCTATCAATACTTTCTGAACAGCCACACTTCAGAGTTGTGCCTTCCTATTTTCTTCTTTTGTCTATAAGGATGAGGGACAGAAGTTCTTGTTTAGTAGATTAGCGGGTACTTTTACAAACTGATTTCTTATTTGTATGTGTAATTACTACCATGTGTCTGGAATGGTGGTTAACTTCTTTGTAAAAAATTACTCTTTTTGAGGCTTATTTGAATTCTTTTCAGATGTTTTGCCTCTACTGAGTCATAATTATTGGTTTGGGTTCTTACACTAGCCGGGGGACTGTTAACTACCTTTAATTGCTGACAGTGGCTCAGCTTCTTCAAGGCAAGGGTGAAACAGGCTCTAACTACCAAGGTGGTGTCAACAATTTAGAAGAGGTGTTCCCGGGCTAGCCTTGCTATTACACAACTCCCTCTCAATGCCACCATACACCAGAGCACACAGATCCAGAAACACTGGCTTGGAGCACTGCCTAGATGATGTAGTACTCATCATGATTTACCAACATAAGATCTCAGGTTTTCGAGGTGTGCAAGTGCAGCAACTCACAGAAAATGAGAGGAAGAAAAAGAGAACTTACAGGTTATCTTCAGAAAACGAGCAACTGCCCTCTGAAATCTGCCCAAAGCAGTGGGGCACAGCCAGTTCAAAATAGGCTTAGTCTACAGTATAGTCTCCACTCCTCAGATGTATTTCAGTGCCTGAATCCCACAGGGGGAAACAGCAAATAAATCAGCCTGTGCTCCCCAAAACCCCACTCCAAGCATTCAGACACCAAGTTGATGACACCAGCAGAAATACTTAAACGGGGTTAAGATGCTGAGGTCTAGTTAGGCCGTTGCTCTCTCTGCTCCCTACAAGCAGCAGCATAACATCAACGACTGTACCAGCAGGTCTGAGCGTTTAGAAATGATGAGTCAGTCTTCCCTAAATTAGGGGATTGCCAGTGACGTTTAAAAAAAACAAAACAAAAAACAAAACAAAAAACCCAACAACAACAAGAAAAAACACCAAGAAAGTGCGCGTTGCTTTGCTTCACTTTGCCCGGGTAGATTTTCCAGGCCCGCCTCTTCCCGCTCCTCGCTACCCGATACCACCGATCCTGGCGGAACCGGGTATATGTTCTGCGGGATCTGAGAATTTCCCGAGAGGAAACGTGAGGTAAACGCGAACGCACTTCCCTCCCTAACAACGGACGAGATGAAATCGCGGCCGCTCAGCACCCGCCCCACCTCCGTCGGCAGAAAGCGCTGTGCGGGCGAGACCAGAGCCCGATCGCTGGACAGGGAGAGCGGGGCGGCCTGAGCCAGCTATCATCCAGGCTAAGCGAGCTCAGCGCCAATCACTCCCACAAGCGTCGCTAACCCTTCCCTCGCCGAGGCCGCCGCCGCCGCCGCAGACCAGCGTGAAGGGGCGCCGCCGACACGCCCGTCACAGCGAAGAGCCCGCTGGGAAACGTAGGCGAATACGGCGCGCTAAGAGACGGCGCCATTTTCTCCTCGCGCTGCCTGGAGCGCGCACGCGCGGGTACTCCTCTCCCCGCGCCCCTTGTGCTGCTGCCGGTATCCCGGGCAGCGTTGTCACCGCGGCGCTCGCCCGCTTTCCCTCCCTTCTGGCGGGGATTGGCAGAGCGAGCCGAGGGGCGGGACACGAAGGAAGAGGTAATTGGCTGGAGCGGGTGTCGCCCGCCGTTGTGGATGATTGATGCGGTTGCCTGCTGAGGAGGGAGGCCGCGTTTCAGCTCAGCGTCCGGCGGCGCAGACAGTACCGTGGCGTTGCACACTTACCAGTGCTGTCCCCTCGCCCTGTCCCTCCCGGGGAAGCCCTGGGAATGACTCCTGTGTGTGGAAAGGCGAGAGACTCCTCCAAAGTCTGTGCCCAACCGCAAAAGCATCCAACTTGCCCCGCCAGCCTGGCCCCGCGCTTCCCCTCAGCCTACCCGCCGGCCGCTCTCTTCTCTCAGAGCGTCCGCACAACTTCACCGGAGCCTCCGCCTCCCTCCCTGCCTCCTTCTCCCCTCCCTGGCCGGGCTGCTGGCCGCGGGGGCTTCCTCCCTCCCCACCGAGCTGTCCGCTCCCCTCGCTGCGACCGCATCCCCGCCGCTTTCCCTCCCCAAACGTGAGTAAGGGGAGGAGGGACGAT